GTAGCAATTACTAGTTTTACAAATGCACAAAATAGACGTGCACCTTTCATAAAATGCTATAGCAAACTTCCATGGACCTTTTCTATGCTCCAGAAAAATAGTACACCTATCTTTTCCCCTTGCCCCTTTAGTTGCCTGGAACCTCTGCATGCTGGGCCTGGGAGAACACCTGAGCCTCTGACCTGACATCGTATGTGTACATCGAGCAGCCTAACCTCAGCCCTAATTTTTTTGCTGTTGTCTTTTACTTGTGCCTTGACTTCTCTCCATTGTTTTCAAGATTGCTTTCAATTCTTTGACATCTGATGTTTCTACCTGTGCCTGTGTATGGATAAAGTCCATTATCTCATGTGCCCTAGGTATTATAGAAGGGTATGCAACTTTGTTCTCCATGTCTTCCTAGAGAGCTGTTGCCTTCCTTTCTTATATTCCACTCACATTTCATATCAACAGTGAGGGGCTTGCTGACCTCTTCGACAAATTTTGCTCCCATTGTTTTTATATATTTTTCTTGATTTATATAGATCAGGATCTATCTACATGAAAGTTTTCATGTGGTAGAAGTAGCCTGGCACAAAGTAGGAGCTAAGCGTTTGTTAAATAAATAAATGAAGGAAGAACTGAGTTATATAATCATGGGATAGGCTGTCTTATAAAATAATTACTTACTGACTAATAGAGTTATATAAGTAGCTCCAAATAGGATTCCAGGTTTGGGTTGACCAGCTCTTCACACATCGTGGTGTGGTTGTGTTCATCAGCTTGCTTGCTAAGGCCAGCTTTTTGTGGTGACATAATCATTGTGAGCCTGCAGCCTTTGCTTCAGCTGTTGTATTAGTAAACCTTCAGTGTTTGGAAGAAATACATCCCCAGATCTTGTGAATCCCCAAATTTAGAAATACTATCGTAACATAACTTCTTTCGATAGGTACAGTAACATAAAACACTTTATGTGAAACCTCCAAACTCTTTATGAGAGTTAATTTTATTAAGTATTAACATGGAGAGATCAACAAACTACATTAAATCAGTAATTGCCAGTGAGTGTGGGAGTAAGGTTGCTCCTCTGTGTTCTTTGGTCTCTGGGTTTGTGGAGCCAGGAGGAGCTGTAGGAATTGCTTCCTCCAGCAGCACTGCCCTTCCCTTCCTTCCTCTCCTTTCCCTAGAGGCTGATAGTTTATTTGCGGTGCAAGTCCTATCTCCTAATTTACTGTTTGAAAACTTAAGTACTAAATACAGTTTAAATAGACTGAGTTAAAAGGAAATGTGCAGTGGTTATTTTTCCTTGTGTGGGGAGGGGCTGATGAGGTGTGTGGGAGAGGGGTCAGAACAGTTGTGCCATTCTTTAGTTTTTCCCATTGTACTTATGAAACAGGATTATGTTTTTGAAGTTTGATTTTAGTTTGCGATAATAATTTTTTTATCTGGATCAAATCTTTAAAAAATTGCCTAATGTTATTTGTTTCTTTTCTTTTATGTAGATCATTTATTCATTTTTAAAGGACTATCAATGCCATATAAAATAAAACATCTGACACCCACCAAGATATGCAGTGAAAATTGTAACTCATTTGTAAAATCAGTGATACTAAGTGCTCCTTTAGTGGTGGTAATAATAAAATGAGTTTCTGTTTGTCTACAAGTTACTGAAATCAGCTGTCCTTTGTTTTGCTTTGCTGTAATGGCTGATAGTTCAGGGATTGTCTGTGTGGCTTGCCTGATGTCCTCCTTCTGTGTGGCACCATTGTTTGACTGGACTTAGTTCTCCACGCCTTATGCCTCAGGGAGAGCTCACACTGGCTGAGCTCAGTCTGGGTCGTTCTTCACGGCTGTGGAGTAAAGACGGCTCTTTCTGTGAAAACTGCACGCGTTCATCGGTATCCTGCCTTCGTGAGATGGAGTTTTGGCAGCCTTAGATCTCATGGGGTCCTGCAGCAGCCAGAGTGTGCAGAAGTCAAGAAAGGGAAAAAAGGTGATGACTGGAGTACACAGATGTGCTGATGAGCTTAGGGAGGAGGGACGTGTGGCCTCCTGGCAGAGTGGACAGTCAGTGTCAACATGACTCAGTTAGCCAAGTCTTGGTCCTGTGTTGGTGGAAAAGCTAAGTGTAACTTGGATTGTTTGGATGGCAATGTTATAGAACTTGTGTTTAGCACTTATTTGAAGATAATGTTTATGGCTAGTAGCAGAAATGAACCAACTAAACTACCTTAATAAATGTAGCTTTTTGGCAGAGAATTGTTTTTAGTACATTCTTACAGAAGCTTTTACAGCTGCCTGCTGTGCTTAATGATACCATTGAGGAAACACCATTTTATTCTTGCACTCATACTAGTGATGTTTTCTCACACAGTTTACCTTTTATGTCACTTAGGAACTGTTTTCTGTTTTTTAAAAATAGATGTTTAGGTTTTTAAGCATGCTCTAACCAGTGTTGCTAATAATTCCTAATATCTGTTATTAAGACATGAAATAACATAATTTAACCTTTGTTTTTACATTAAAAAAGGACTTTTTGTCATACATATCTGTGATATTTTTATTTTTAGTTTAGTGACCCATTGTACTTGGTTTACTTCACGTTATTTTTGAAGGATAACATCAGGTTTAAGTGTAATTCTCTGATGATGCAGTGGCTGGTTTCACACTGTGTTCTCTGTGTACTAGTCCTTTGACATTTGTGTCTAATGAGTATTTCTTCGAAGGAAGACATTATAATCATAGGATCAGCACCCAGATTCCCCTACAAAGGAATGAACTCTGGAGTGGCCCCTCCTCTCTCTGGCTCACTCCACCAGTCTTCCATGAATAGACCCATTCAGGGACGAAACCAGTGTTCAGTGTCACAGTGAAAGAACCTCTGATTCTCTTCAAATTAAATACTGGAGTATGTAAGTTATTTAATCAGGTTTGCATTTACTCATGAGTGACCGTAGTCTCTCCTCAGAGTACACAGAAAAGAAAAGTGAACAGAATAATCATCCATGTTGCATTTATTAATGCTGTAATACAAGTTTTTAGCTTAATGATTTCTTCTTAAATATTTAAACATACATTTTGATTATAAAAAATTAGAAAACTACGTGTGTTTGATAGCTTTATTCTGTATAGTTTCTTTTGTATCATTAATTTAGGATGATATATTAGTTTTGGAAGACATAGCACATGCTAGTGCATGTAGTCAATCCTCAGAAAATACATGTAATATGATTTCCTGATTAAAGAAGATGCTGGGGATGAAAAAGGTAGTTGAGGAAGGTATTGCACTTTTTTTATTCATGTCAGGTCCCATAGGAGCCCTGACTCCTACCCTTAGTCTAATAGCTGGGGAAGGCAGTGTTGGATAGTGGAGTGTCAGAGAGATCTAGGCTCACGTTCTGGCTCTGCTATTCACTAGCTCTTTGATTTTGGATAAGTTACTTAATCTCTTTATGCTTAGGTGTTTTCCTCTATGAAGCGAAAAGGTTTTGTGAGTATTTAGAGATACTGTATGTAGAGCACCGTGCCCAGTTCTGGAAATGTAGTAAGCATTGGTAATTAGTCTTAGAGCTGCCTGCACATCCGGGCTCCACTTGCAGATCTCGGTGTCTTCTTCCCTTGTCCTCTGAGGAGCCTTTGCCCTTGGTGACTGCTGATGGAAAGAGGCTCATGCTTTCAGTTCAGCTGTTTTTCATTTTATATTTATCTTGTAGGAGTTAAGTGATTTTTGGCTCAATTTGTTATACTAATACAGTGTAACAGGATACATTTTAATTTAAAGGTTGATTTATAATTAATCTGCTATCTTTAAATAAAGTACAGGCATACCTCAGATATTGTGGATTAGTTCCAGACCACTGCAATAAAGTGAGTATTACAATAGTGAGTCGTAATGTTTTTACTAGTGGAGGAGGGTCTTGCCTTCAGTTTGTTAAATAAACACATCTGTGAAGCAAAATAAAGAGAAGTGCAGTAAAAATGAGGTATGCCTGTAGTGGCTATGTAAAGGTTGTTTTTTGCTGGTGGACCTTTAATTTTTACTAACTGTGTATAGGATGATCTGAGACTATCATCTTCTCAAATGAAGGTCTTTTGTTCCCAGAAATTGATTTAGATTTCCTAGATGCAATCTAAAGAGTAAATGAGTAAACTTCATGTTTTTTAAGTTGAAATTGTGTGTGTGTGTGTGTGTGTGTATTTTTTAAACCCTCACCCAAGGATATATTTCCATTGATTTTTTTGTTTTTGTTTTGGAAGTGGGAGCGGGGGAAAAACATCATTGTGAGAGAGACACATCAATTGATTGCCTCCTGTACAACCCCAACTGGGGCCAGGTATCAAACTGCAACCAAGATACATGCCCTTGACTGGGAATTGAATCTGAGACTCTGGTCCACAGGCTGATGCTCTAACCGCTGAGCCAAACTGATCAGGGATGAAATATATATGTTAAAATGCATAGATTTTCAGGATATAGTTCAGTGAGCTTTGACAAGTTTGTATGTCTATGTAACACAATATAGAACACATCCATTACCCCAGAAATGTGTCACGTTTCTTTTCCCCTTGTTACACTCTCCTCCCCTTTTTGATTTCTGCCATTGTGGATTAGTTTTGCCTGCTCTTGGACTTACTATAAATTGAATATGTGGGATGTGCTTTTTTGTGAATGGCTTCTTTCATATGACACAGTATTTAGAGAGTCATGTATCCGTGTTTTTGTGATTATCAGTGGTTTCTTTTTCTTACTTATAGACTTGGCATTATTTATCTGATGAAGGAATTTATTCTAGCTTCATTCTAGGTATACTTGTGTCAAGTGTGCTTGATATTAAGATGAAGTCAGTGGTGTAGCTGTGGTAATAGTAATTACATGGACTTAGTAGTTAATCATAGGGATCTATGATATTAAACATGTTAGTATTATATAGAAGCCATAATGTAAATTGAACAGTGGTGATGAACTTTCAAAAACTTATAAATCTTAATGTCAAATAATACTTATTTATCATTTGTTATAGGTGCTACAGAATATTTTGGAAACAGAAAATGAATATTCTAAGGAACTTCAGACTGTACTTTCAACCTATCTACGGCCATTGCAGACCAGTGAGAAGTAAGTTAGATGATAAATTTTGTTAACTGTAGAAGAGTTGTCACTTTAAGCTATATTCCCTTGTATTTTCAGAGAATAGAGGCTGAAGTACTGGAACAGAATTTAGCGTACCAGTTTGCCTTAGACATAACCAATTTATTTATTAGGTTAAGACTTTATTTACTAGTGCATTGGGATGGGAGAGAAGAATATAAGTAAAACTTTACATATTTTTTACTGTTATTTTTCATGGCTTTAGGTTAAGTTCAGCAAACACTTCATATTTAATGGGAAATCTAGAAGAAATATGTTCTTTCCAGCAAATGCTTGTACAGTCTTTAGAAGAATGCACAAAGTAAGTAAGATGCTAAAATTTACAAAATTCAGATTGGTATAACTGGTATTTAAATGATAAAGTTTAACATAGTTTTATAATTTATATTTTCAGAGATGGAAACTAGGTTATTTTGTATTTTTCAGGTATATAGTCTTTTATAGTAAAAGCTGTGTGTCAAATTATCTAAAGTTTACAGTAATCTCTGAAGGGGAGAGATCTACTGACTAGAAAGGAGAAGGATTTCACCTGAGTGATGATTTTTAAGGTGTTAGGGGGAAAGTAGGGGACGAATAATCCCTGAAGAGGAGAGGATGGCATGTGGAAGAGCATGGAGGCACCGATGGCTTAGTTTCTTAGGTGCCACCATGTACTGTATGGGGAGGTATGTGTGCACACACTCTTGAAAGCAGACTTCCCAGCACCTTTTTCCAGCATGTATTGTTCCTGGCCATTAGGAAGCTGAGAAATTGTAAAGCACTGTTTAGATGTATTAAGGACTTGCTTTTATTACGTTTTCAAGATTTTTTTTTTTTTCGGGAGTAGGGGACAGGTGTGTTCGGGATGATTGGACATATTTTTTCTGTGTGACTATTTTATGTTTTTTGTTAACATCAGACACTAAACAACATTTACTAAGTGCCTGCTGGGTGTTGGATGACTTAAAATCATAATGCACATGAAAAGTTTTGATATTTTAGTTTACCAGGTGATATTTGATATTTATTTGTGGGTTTGATAAAGGAAGGTAACACATTTTATTTTTGCATTATCTTTATTTTTGTAGCCACCAGAAGGACCAGAAAACTTTTCTCTCTGGTTGGTCTCTGGTTTTCTTCCAGCTTTTGCCTGTGTCTTTCTCAATCTTGGAAGTGGTGAGGGGTGGCCTGCCCTCTGTGCCAGTGGTTCTTTAAATTGGTAACAGTTTGCCATGCTGCAAGTAGGTTTGTTCCCTTATTTGGCTTCAGGGTTTCATAGAGGACCTTTATATTACAAGGTGTAAGGAAAGGTGAATGTCAGCATAACTAAACACTGGCTCTCAAATAGAAATTCACATTTTTATTTGTTTGCAGCATTTTTGGTTTGCACAAAATAACATTACTTACATGACCATAAAAGAGTAGTTTGTGAATCACTTTGCTTTCCTTTTGGTGAATGAAGATCATTTGGTAGCAATTTGGGGTCTTTGCAAGAGGCCAGCCCTGTTGTGCACAAAATGGAAGTAAATGCTTCTTTCCCAGTGGCTATAGCTAATGTAGACTAAATAAATTAATATTTATGTAGTACATTTTGCAGTATCTCTTATTAGCCTCATGTCAGCTCTGTGAAATAGTTAAGGCAGATATTAGTATCCTCACAGCATAGATTTAAAAACTGAAGTTCAGGCTAGTCAAGGAATGTTAATGGTGAACAAACAGTACCAGATGTTAGACCTCAGTCCTTGAGTTTTGCTAAGCAAGAATTCAAAGCCAAGAACTCACATATAAACAAAAATTTATTTGAAAGTCACAGAGGTAGAAGTGAGCTAACTGGGCTGCATGGACTCAGGAAATAAGTTACAGTGGCAAAAGAAGGGCTCTTGGAGCTTAGGGGAAAGAAAGCAAAGATATGTGCCTTGAGGGAAGAAAGGGAAGTGGGGAAAGGCACTTGAGGGAAGAAAGGGGAGTCAGAGAGGGAGAGCATGCACTGGGTCCTTTTGCCTTAAGGTTTTTTTTTCCCCAAAGGCAGGGATTTTAGGGAAGGTGTTGGGACAATCTCAGTAGAATATTCATTAGCTTTCCAATTGTGTCCTTTTAGGACCATGGTCCCTACTGATTGCTGGGCACTAAGGTAGGGGATTATTAGTTATTGCAACTGGTGCTGATGTCAGCCATACCTTTGCTTTCCTGGGCCTGAAGCTGAAACACAACTGAGGCCTAGATGTTATCTTTAGTTCACCAAAACTCTGTCACTGTTGTCAATAGATCCTAGGCTTTGTTCCTAAGATTATTTGATGTGGGTCAGAACCTCAGTGTCCTGAGGGTTTAATGCTTAAGGGAGTGGTCATGCAAGTCTTGTTTGGGAGTGGAATGAGGCTATTTTCTGACACCCTTGTTCCTTCTCTAAAGGTGTCTATCCTTATGTGTAATGACACGCCAGGGAAGGAAAGGTCAGGGGAGTATCTGAACCGCATGACCAGCATATGAAAAATCAGGAGCTCTAAACTGCATGACCTGCAATATGCTAGCTGGGGGGTAGGGGAGTCACCCTGGGGCAAGGTCCTACCCTACAATACTTGTTTTCCTCGTTTTGCCCATTGCTAGGCACCTAGGGCTTTCCACCCTGATGACCTTGTGTATGTGGCCTGCCGTGCCTATTGTGCTCATGTCTGTCTTAACTGTCTACTATATCAGCATATCTAGTCAGACTTTAGTCCTTGTATGGTCTCTGAATTTGACATGACTTAGATATTATATTGGTCAAGTTCCTTGAGGTTATGGTACATGGATTTGAGGTGTTGGATTTTCCATGGTGAAATAGAATGTTTGAGACTAGCTTTCCTTATCAACCATTTCCTTTCTCTCTTTTAAATCATGAATATTCTGAAAGTTTTCAGAGATTTGGGCAGAAATGACAGACAGAATTCAGGATTGCGTTCTCTAACTTTTATTCCTGGGTTTCCCCCCGACTTCCCAGCAGCTTAGGAGTTTAGCAGTCCCACATAACACAGACATAGCCATCACTGGCCTAAAAGCAGAGAAAACAAGAGACATGTCCTCTGCCCTTTTCTTCTCCAAAACCAGACCTCCTCCAGAATCTTCATACTTTTGATTGCTCTCTGTTGTTTTCAGGTAGTCAGTTTGATAGGAGTAGGTTTGTTATAACCATAAATGGAACCTCCTAGATGTATATAGAACCCAGTCTTTTTTTCTGTTTCTCAAATTAGGGCTCTCTCTGTTGTAGGCTCCTTGAAAGGATGTTTTCTGTAGTAATTGTGCTCATAATTCAAACGAACTATCCGCTCCCTTTAAACATACTCATGCAGTTTGCTGTATTAACATTTTAAAAAGATGAGAAAGGGCACAAAGATGTTGAGTGACTTTCCCAAGGCATAGCTAGTAACTGGTGGTTTAAATCCAGAGATCCTAGGCCCATCATTCCCATCCTGGCTTCAGTTACTGTAGTGTGAAAAAGACAAATTTGCAGGACTCTTTTTCCTAGTGAGAATCTGTAATTTATAATCTTTTTTCTTTGTCAGCAGCATTTTTGCCAGTGGGTTCTCCCCAGGGCCAACTCTTCTTACCCCTGCCCTCTATTTACCTGGAGCGGCCCCTGCTCTGGTGAAAGAGGCCCCTGCCCTTGCCTTCTGGACCCTGGGTGAGATGAGATGGCTAGCATTCTCCAGGGTAGTTTTTGAAATGCATTTTTTTCTTTGAAATACTATTTTAAATGATAGAGTAATGATGTGTAATGTAATGATTTACTACAAATCCTATTACATTATGATTTAATGAGACTTGAGAATCTAACAATGACTTCAAAACAACTTTTCAAATAAACTCATTTGTAAGTTCTGAGTTTGCTTGTATTTTATGATGGAAAACAGGTTAAATTGTGTGGAAAATTAAATCTTAAAAGTTCTTTTTCATACTGACCTTGTTACTGTACCAAATTTAATTCTCATTTATTCATTTTGGTAATGATGCAGTGCTCTTTTAATACTCCCTCTTAAATAAGCACTGAAATGTCCTGTAATTCTTTAATTTTTTTTTGTTAGGTACAGATGCCAAGGAGGCAGGCAGACAGCAGAGATAACCAGCTTTGCTGCATTTATCCTCTGATGGGCAGCTCTTGAAGTAGCTGGCATACCTGACTTACTGACTCCAGAATCTAGCACTGGGTCCAAGACTTTTCAAGTGGTTGTTTTTTGTTTATTTTATTTTATTATTATTTTTAATCCTCACCTGAGGACATTTTTGCATTTATCTTCAGATAGAGCAGGAGGGAGAGAGGGAGAAAGAGAGAGAGAGACGTCGATGTGAGAGAGACACATCGAGTGGTTGCCACCCCACATGGCCCAACCAGGGCCGGGGACAAACTGCAACCAAGGTATGTGCCCTTAGCGGGAACCGAACCTGGGACTCTCTGGTCCACAGGCCAATGCTCTAACCGCTGAGCAAAACCGGCCAGGGCTTGTTTTATTTTTTAAATGTAACTTGGTGTATGTTGCTTGGGGTGGATGTAGCTGCTATTTTTATGATTTTTAGCTTCTGCTCTGATGACAATTAAAAATTATTGTGATTTTTGGGCCAAGTTGATTGAGAGGAATATTAGTGTCACTAACAAATGAAGGCAAAACTAAGGAAAGGACTTAGGCAGTTAAGTTCCTTCTGGGGTGCTTGTGTGCCTTCTAGTGAGGATGTCTGACAGGTACTCAGCTGGCCCTGGAATCATATAAGGTTGGAGGTGGATATTTGGGAGTTGTAGTGCGCCCCCCCACTCAACCTGTGTGAAGAAGTGTGGTCCAGGGGTGTTTGCCTCTTTATGGCTTAGTTTCCTCATCTGTAAAATGGGGGTGGTATTGTATATTGTGAGGATTAAATAAAAGTCAGCAGGTGGTGGTGTTAGCTTGGGGTTTGTTTCTCCATGTGGAAATTCATTCTTCTTACATACTCTCTGCAACACCCCCTTCCCATTCTATTAGAGACACTCGTAATTTAGTAATAAGTGAGACACTGATAGTGGGGGTCAATGGGTAAATTGCTGACGTTCTTGAAGGAAAGTTCTGTTTTTCTTCAAATTGAAAGACTTTTTTTCCCCCTCGCCCTTCCAGTTCTTAGGCATTATCTTTAGTTTTACTCTCTACCCTTAAGCTAATTCAGGACATTAAAGGAAATATGTAGGATATATGACTTAGATATTACTATCTTTATCTGGGTGAAATTGTTCTGTAGAAGATGGTGATAAAATTGTGCTTTCTTCTCAGTTCCTTTTTCTCTTTGCCATGTTATTTTTAGTGATAGCTAATAGTCAGTTGACCA